CAGAACCTCATTAAAGGTGCCCCCCCCCCCCCCACACACACACACACACACACAATTTTTCACCTTATCCAAAACTAAAAAATGGCTTTAGATACACTTTAACATGACACTTATTTAGTACCAGTCATGTGCTGCTCGCATGAATTAGGTTTTTACACGGACCACACACCAAAGTTTTTTAATGCAAAAATAGCCACACAGATTAAAACAACCCACCACTAGTGCTTTCACATGAAACCATAAAACAATCAATATCTCCCCAGACAGCGATAAGACCTCAGGGGTTCTAACATATCCCCTGCCTATACAGCACAAATTTTGATTTTGCTATACTTGCATGCTAACTGTACAATGTAGTTGAGTACTTTTTGCTTCTATACACTATGCAATTACCTGCCTTGTACATGGAAGCCAGTATATACATTTATGGACAGAGTGTTTTATAGGAGATGCATATTAACTGATGTTAATGCATGTAAAATTCTGCAAGAAAAATGCTTGCGGTTTCTGTAAAAGCACATAAACTGAAGTAAGAAGATGTATAAAATGGAAGTGGAAAGCCTTTTATCTTCTTCCTGCAACGTGAATGTATACTCATTAGGAAAACTGCTTTACATGGGTCATACTCACCATTACAGAGAAAACATTAATCTGCTCTAGTTAGCACTAGTTATTGTCTTTATAGAAACTTTGTGTATAGAAAAAAAAGCACCACCCACTGGGAAGTGGTTTCCTGTATTAAAATGGGCTTACAGTGACCCGGTCACCAACTTGGAAAAAATGCTAGTAAACTCACAGAAAAATCAAGTATTTTCAATGCTTTTCATTAATCATTTTTGTATTCACTTGCATGTGATTTCAATTTTCCTAGAAAATCTGACTACTCTTGGAAAAGTAAGTTCTCTAGCACAGCCTTCTCCCTCCTTGCACTCATATTCCGCTTCTGGAGGTGTCTAATTACTGTCCTATGCTGGCCTAGCTCCTTCACCCCTCTCTTCACCTCCCTACATAACCTTTTATGTAAAAGCTGGGAAAGAGTGAAGGGGAATACTATAAAGCAGTGGTGGCGAACCTTGGCACTGCAGCTGTTTTGGAACTACAAGTCCCATGAGGCATTGCAAGGCTCTGACAGCCACGGACATAACTCCCAGAGGCGGATGCATGTTGGGATTTGTAGTTTTGGCACAGCTGGAGTGCCAAGGTTCGCCACCACTGCGATAGAGTGTCACTGGAGTGACGGCCTTAAATCTGCTGGTGCTGCTTTCATTACATCTGGCACCCAGCAGCAGTGTCCACACAAGGGGGTCTTTTATAGGTATATAACATGCATAAAATAGATTAAATGCACATATACTGTACCTTTATGCAAAGTGTTTTTGTTTGTTTGCTTTGTAAGTGAATGGTCTTGGAATAGATGACATAGTTGTTTATGAGATGCAGACTTCACCTGGTCAGGTCTCACAGTTGAACATGCTGCATTGTATTACAGCAAGCCTGCGGCTACGAGTTCACCAGCAAGCTGCATCGAATGTACACGGATATGAGCGTCAGCGCTGATCTCAACAACAAGTTCAACAACTTTATCAAGAATCAAGACACCGTTATTGACCTGGGTATCAGCTTTCAAATATATGTATTACAGGTGAGGAAAAAGTCTAGATAAAACAATACTGAGCAATCCATGCACTGGATACTGGTAGTTTGTGCAGCCGCTCGTCTCATATCCACGGAGCGCTGTCTTCGTCAAGTTGTCAGTCTTCTCCTGTCTTTACAGTATTGTGGATGGCTTTATCTAGTGACAGCCAGTATTAGGATGTAAAGACAAGACCGAGTCTGCCAAATAAAACATTCACACCCAAAACAAAATAACAAGGAGCAACGTGAAGCCGTTTCAGAGTGTTAATTGGGATACATATAAACGAAATTTTATAATCACATGTTTATTTCTCACATACTGCTACGTTTTCTATGTGCCACAGTTGTGCTGCCTGTTCATAAAATATATCTGGACGCTTGTTAGCAAAATCAATTACTGCCATCCATTAGGATATCCAACGTGCCTGGCAGTCATGTGACTCCACTTAAAGCAAATCTGTCCAATTTTTAAAAGTAAAAGGCTCGTCTAAGAATGGGAACCGCAAGGCGTCTGCTATTACCTTGATTAGATTGAAAACCCTCCTCCGTATGTTCTGAAACAGGTTTCAGGTTATCTAGAGCTTCAACTCCCTGACTTCAGGCTGACTGCTTGTATTCCCACTGAGGTATTCTCATTGGATAGAGCAAGTGTGGGTTTAGTAAGAGATATCAAATACTTCAGTAAAAAGATAAAACCAGTTTTGGAGGGGAGCACAGAGTTGGGTTTACCTGCTGATGAAGTTAATATGCTACTTTTGTTGGATGCTCTTAGGACTTTTATTTTAGGTTTAGAATAGCTAACAGGTTCACTTTGAAGTCACTTTGTCACTTACAAAAAAGTTCTGCCTGTACGGGCAAATAATCCCACTGCCTTCATTGCCAAACATCACTCGGATTCATAGTAATTACCAGGTGCAGTTTTTTGACACTTCAGTGATTGACAATCACCTGGTTCCCCTGCAGCTCTCAGTAGTTCCTATTGACCTCCACTAATTATATGGTACAGTAGTGGCATGGTGGTGAACAGGAGGAACCGTGGAGCAATGCAAGGGGCCCAGATCAAAAATCCTGAAAGTGTCAGATTTGGAGAAAACTTCAGCTATAAATGAATCTTCATCAGAGCATTGTTCTGTGGTGTGGGCAGCAGGAGGGGTAAGTATTCCTCCTTTGCAGGTACAGAGCTTGTTTTGACCTTCTCAGGAAGCCACAGAGTCACTTTAAGAGCCTGTTCATTGTAAGAATATTTTTCAGCTGTTTGAAATGCTCTCAAGTTTGGATTTGAACGGCTCCATTGTTTTTAGTTAGGATTGTGCACACCAAGGTGTAGTACATGGAATTTTTTGGAAGATATTCTGCTTTTAGCATTTTTCAGGTATATCCAGGTGCTTTCATCTACCATTGTAGTCTACGGAATTTCTAAAAAAATACCAAACTACAAGTTCTTAGTTTTTCGTGTGCAGCAAAAATGATTGCAGCCCACCATGACCACTTAGAAAATGTCTTATCTCCCACACTGTCTGTGTTATAATATGATCCGGATTTTCAGTATCTCACCTCTATTCCGTATATTGCTAAAACATGAATGAAAAGAACAATACTCATAAACTCTCATGCTTAAAAGTAAAGCCGAACCATTTTTTTGGCTTTACTTTTCTTTTGGGTCACAGAAGTACATTTATTAATGTACTCCTGTGACCGAAACTCAGCATATAGTGGGCTACTGCCTGCTATATGCTGAGAGTGTAGAGCTGTGCTTCAGCTGGTAGGAATCCTGATACTGTTGATCCACCCAGCTGCCTGATTGATAGCTGCCTCTGCCTATGTACAGCAAGCTGTGCCCTCCCATCCCTTGTCTTCCAATGAACACTGGAGGAACAGAGAGGGGACTGGAAATCCCTATTCCCTGCAGGAAGAAGCCGTGAGCCGAGCAATCGGCGGTTTGTGATTGCTCAGTTCTCCGGATAAAGAGCTGATGTGTGACAGCTGCAGTGCCCCACAATGGCTCAAATATTGGGAAGAGAATAGTTTCCGTTCCCAAAATTTTTCTTTGAAATACTAGTCTACACCCAGCTTTTTAAAGCTCTTCTGCTGTGAGAAGAATGTGTTCTAAAGAAGAACACCTGTCTCCGAAGATTAATGTAAAATCAATTCCCTTAATCATGTTGCAATAATCATGCAGAAGGAACATTGATACCTTTGTGGTCAGACAGTTCAAAGCCACAAAGTCCCTGAGAGATGAGAATCATTAGACTCTGATTCAGCCCTGCAGCAGCCATACACAACAGAAATATCAGTTTTCAGTGATCTGACCCTTTGGTCACATATTTCTTTGAATGCCATACCTGCCAGGGATATTCAGCCTGTTGTTTCCTTGCTTCACATGGCACTTGAAGTGGCTTTGAAGCATTAAGGTTATATGACAACAGTCATGTAGTCAAGAAGTTGGGTCACAAGGTCATTGGCGAATCAAGACTTGAGTAGATGACGGAACTGGTTTGACAACTCGGATGAAATGCAGGAAATAGAGTGTGGTGTGAATTTTGCTAGCAGCAGTCACTTGTGTCCACCCATAGCTACCTGCCAATAGCTAAACAAGGTATATCTGTCATCACTTCTATAATCACATAAACAATGTTATCCACTTAAGCTAGGTGAACTAGAGATAAGAGCTGCAGGGACTTTTGTTCTCCGTTATTGTGTGACAATTAAACTGTCACACGGCGGCCCAATAGATCGGGAAGTGAGAGAACACATACCGTCGCTTGCTCACCTCTCGATCATGTCCCTACAGAGATCCATGACTCAGTCACCGCTCCCTGCAGGGATTCTCCCCTCCCCACACCGATCCTCCAGCACTTACTGGAGGAACAGACTGGGAGGGAGCAGGTACAGCTGGCTCGGCCCCTAGATAGACAGAGCCAGCTGTCACACAGCTTGGTGGATCTCGACAGCATTGTTGGGATCTGTCCCGGCTGCGGCGGTCTCAGTATACCGCGAGCTGTAGCTCGCAATATACTGAGCTTTGGGTCATGGAGGGAAGCTAGTATATGTTCTCCCGTGACCCTTAGGGGAACTGTGGGGAAAAACACTTACCCCATAGTTCTCTTTCAATATACCTGTACACCTAATTTATCATTGCCTTCATACTTTATGTTGTAGTTCAGGCGGTGACCCCAGCATCCATGCTGCCTTCAGTCCACAGGCTGCTGCTGGGATGGAACAGTGAGGCCGAAAAACAACAGGCAGAGCACTGCAGCACACATACATTTCAGTTTATTTTGCTCCTCCAAGCTGAGACGATTGGAAATCAGCACTAATATTTATCCTGGCTTTTGGTGGTGTTTGTTACTTCTTTGGTCCAAGAAAGGAAGCACGTTTTTCTTAAAAGCAGCATGAAAATAAGATTGAAATGTGATTGATAAGCAAATGAAGAGAGAGACTTGCCCAAATCATTGATTTTTTTCCTTGATTTTAATCATATACCTTATAGGGACACCAACATCACTTACTGTATATCAGAACATCAGCAGATTCATTTTTAAAAGTGCTTCTGCTGATGTATAGAAGTGTGTATGTTTGTAAGCAATGTTTGACGAGGCCGGCGCACCACTGCTTCTCAGTCCTCTCCACAACCGTATTAAAGTAAACCTTTCCTAAAGGAAATATTGGACTTCCATTACTGTCATTCCAGAAATACTACCTGCCCGGGTTATGTTTACCCTCAGGCTTTAATACATTGCGAGTAACTGACCCCGAACAAATATGCATATCTGTAAAGTCAGAAGTTCCTAAGTAGGTGCATTTCCTGCCTTTAACAAATAAATGTTCTGCTTCTTGATTACAGAATATGGATTATTTTTATTCATGTTACTTCTCTGTCTTCTGCTTTGGTTGGAACACCATTGTGATTGATCTGACACCCAAATTCCTCACTGGAAGTGCAGGAGAGTTTAGGGAAAAGGTTTGTGACCACAATAGGAAAATCACATCTGTCTGGTCATTCAAGGAGTAGTTTATACAAATCTGATATTGTAAAGGGGAGAAAACATGCCAGCTCTGAAAGCCATGGACTGTCACACTGCCTCTTGTAGTAGGATAAACTTAATTGTCTCTGCAGCATTATCTGCTTATCGGTGCTCGTACTGATGACATGGATGGCTTTGTATGGATCTCCAGTGAAGGCCAGATAGTCAGCAGCACACACACTATGTATAATTGATCCTGTGACACTATGTCACTCTGTGGTAGGGATCTGCATGGCCCAGAAACGTTGGCTGTATATGAAGTTTATTCAATAAAATAAAACCGGATCAATGATGCATTGTGTGTGCTGGTGACTATCTGATCTTCAGCAGAGAGTATGGGACACCCTTGAGCTGGCCATCCACCAGTAGAATTTCATTCAAAAGAATTTTTGTTGGAACTTTCGTTTGATTTTTAATAGTTAATGGGGTCAAATTGACTATCAATTTCAACCATAGTGAGGAAACAAAATTGAAGGAACAGGATGGAAGAAATTTCTACAACAAAATTGTGATGGGTAACGTGGTTTTCATTCAACTATCTCTCAATTCATTTTCATGTTCTGGTAAGATTTCTTTTTGTATGAATGTTTTCACATAAAACTACCAGTGTATAGCCAACTTATAATGGCTTCAGTTCCTAAGACAGCAGTGATTTAAAGTGTTTCCATCTGTACATGACTGCAGTATATGTTGGTGGATTATAAAATCAAGGGGCCATGAGACTGAAAATTAAAGGCTATATATGTGGTTTTAGCATTTTAGAACATGTCCATCATTGTTTTTTTTTCTAATCCTTTATAAAGGTGATTAGAAACTTTAGGATGCTGTAGGCAACACATCTGTACTTTTTGTTCCTCCAGTGTTTGCTCATTAAGGTAAATGTAGTCCAATCCAGTGTCGGGAGAATAGAGTCATCTCTGTGTATTAAATATTGTCATGAAGTAATAAAACTTAGAGCGGTTTCTTAGTCTGGAGTCTGAGAAGTGTAGTGACCTCTTCCATTCATGACATAATGAGATTAGGTAACTCTGGCATACCAAGGAATCTTTAACCTCTTGCCGTCCGCCCGTAGTAAAAAAACGGACGGACGGCACTGCAGCATCTGCGGGTTGCCGTCTCCAGACGGCAATTTTTTCCTGCTCGCGCGCGCCCCCTAGCGGGCACGCACGGGCAGAAAAGACCCGTCCAATGCGAACACCCGGTACCGGGTGTTTCACATATAGGCGATCAGTGGGTCCATAGCCGGCCGATCGCCTATATGTGCTCGTTCGCGGCATCCACTGCCCCATCTTGGATCCCGGGACCGGCTCCGAGGGCGTCAGGAGGAGGAGGACGGGAGATCAGCTCCTTGCTGATCCCCGTCCGGGCTGTGAATGCAGAAGTGATGTGTGTTACATCACTTCCGCATTCACCTGTCAGTCATCTGGAGAGAGAAGAAGCTGATAAAGCAGATCTCTGCTTTATCAGCTTCTTTTGGGGTCCATAGGTGATATTAGGGGTCCTAGAGACCCCTAATATCTCCATAAAGAGGACCTGTCAGTGTGCCTTTGCTATTATATAGGGGGTTGTTATCCCCCTATATAATAGCAATAACAATAAGTGCAAAAAAAAAAATATAAATAAAAAAAAAGAAAAGTAACACATAAAAAAAAAAAATAAAATAAAAGCCACATATAAAAAAAGGGGAAAAAACCCCCCCAAAATGTTTAACTCCCCCACCCCCACGTTTACGCGCCTATAAACGTAAATACGCGTCCGGTGCCCCAGCGCGCAAAAATTACAATTGCGCTACACATGTTACATATCGCCGCGAACGTCGCAGTGAGAGCAATCATTTTAGGGCCATCAATCACTGATAACACTAAACTGATGAGCGGTAACAGCTTTTAAAGCGTCGCCTAGGGCCAATTTTGGGTATTATCGTTTTTTGAGGTTTCGCGCGCGCACGCAATTTTAAGGCTTGACATGTTTAGTGTCTTTTTACCCGACGTGACCCCATCTTTTATATTTTACCAAAAAATTGGGTAATAATAAATGTTTTATCATTTAATATAGGGGAAACTGTTTTTTTTTTTAAATTTCGGTAATTTTTCCTTAATATAGTAAAAAAATAAAACCCCCAGTGGTGAATAAATACCACCAAAAGAAAGCTCTATCTGTCCCCAAAAAAGGGTATAAAATTCATTTCAGTACAGCGCTGCATGACGGAATAAATGTCAGTCAAAGTACCGCAGTGCTGAATACTGAAAAATGGCCTGGATGGGAAGGGGTTTAACACCGCGGATGTCAACTGGTTAAAGAAAGTGAATATTGTGTACAAACTGGTCCTGCTGGTTTGTCATTTAGTGAAAAAAATGTTCACACCTTGAGAAAAGGGTCCACCACTTATTTTTGCATATTGGGCTAATGTATCAAAATTTGGTATCTATCTATCTGTCTTTCTGTCTGTCCCTCCCACCGATACCAACAGTGGATAACTGATATTAACTGACACCATCGATGGGACATCATTCCCTTCCACTGACAACAACAATGGGGCACAATTGTTCTTGCTGACAACAACAATGGGGCACTATTCCTCCCACTTGGGTCAAATATGGGGCACTATTTCTCATGCTGACATCAACGATGGGGCACTATTCCTCCCATTGATGTTAGCGATGGCCCTCCTATTCCTCCCATTGATCTCATCGATGGGCCTCTATTCCTCCCATTCATGTCGGTGAAGACGCACTATTCCTATTCCATTTTTCTACTCCTATTGCTCACCACCCCTAAAAGCATTGCTAACTACCACTAAGCAGGAACCTTGTTTACTCCCACGGACCATTTTCACTTAGGCATTTTCTGCTCCCAGTGGCCCCCAAGGTCTGAAAGAAAGTGAACAGGTTCTTTGTTTAGAAAGTTTGAGGACCCCTGATCTATATCCTATGGCTTAGATGTTTTATCTTTGTGGGACACAGCATAACTGTCTAGCGATCACTCCCATCATCTTACCTTGCTGTCGCCCCCTATATGATGAAAGGGTGCAATGGCCCAGTGGAAAGAGCTTTACACAATCATCTATTTTTTTTTCTCCACAAAATATTGTACAACTACACAGATAACACAATAAAAGGCAAAATAACCACAAATGGAGTTTATCAGGACTGTAACAATTGTTAACTCTTCCCAATGAAAGCCCATCTATTGCACAGTTAAATATGGCCTATGTTTGCATTTCTTTCAGGCTGGTGCATGGCCATTAACTCAGGCCCAGTCCTCTACATTTGCCATCCCTCAGGAACTGGAAAAGAGTGTTCAAATGGTGAGTGGTTATTCTGATGTGTAGAAGTGGCTTTATTATTTATATTTGTTAGAGGGTTTTGCTAATTCATTGGTTTATGTATTTTTAGTGTTTCAATATTATCTCAAGTAAGTTATTCTCAGTCTGGTTATATTCATTGCAGTATATATTATTACAAATCCCATGAATATGTTGATGTATTTTTTAAAGGAGAAGTTTTTTCCAGATTAGAAACCTCACTTGTTTAGTGAAGTACATTTTCGATCTCCAGTGCAATGTACCTGCTGTCCATCCAGCTATTAAAGTGGAATTTGAATTAAATTGCCCTCACCCCTTTCTCCCTTGCCCTATCTTAACATGTATACATAACAGATGTCAGGCCCCAAACCTTACTTTGGCCCTGCCAGGGGCTAACCACACTTTTCACAATTTCTGATTTGCCTTCATAGACTATAATGGGAAAACCCCTAGGTCTGTACATCTCTGATCATACTGATCTATGCCTTACACATCATAGGCTGTGGAGCGGAACTGCACATGCGCAACTCAGAAATGAAGAAGGATGCAGCTAGGCCCTGGCTGTGTCAAACTGGGGAGAACTCTGTAATGCTGTTCTAAAGTCTTTGTTGGGCGTGCAAGGGGGGACCCCACTGGGGAAAATGTAATAATGCAATCAGCCACCTAGTGAGTATATTATTTTCAGCAAATTTCATAAGAGATAGTGAAGTGCAGCCATCGTCTTCCACTGCAAATCAGGAAGCAAAGCCTGCATATATTATGTACATACTGTATATTATTAATCACTATACATAAAAATAAGGCTTTTAAAACAACACATGTTAATACCATTTACATCAATTTGATCTCTTTTACATGCACAGTAAAAGTAGTACAGACAAATATCAAAAGAATATGTTTTCTTAAAAATATGGGTTTATAAATATATTCTTTTTTTTTTTTTAGTTTGAATTATTTTACAACCAACACTTCAGTGGCAGAAAGCTGACGTGGTTGCACTACTTGTGTACAGGTAATTTCTTTTCCTTGCATTTATATTGTACTTATTTGTTACTTGGCTATAGCTTAGATATACCCCTGGTGAGATGTAAACCCAAACCCTGTTAGGTTAATCATTGAGACGATGCACTCAGTAGGTAATACAAAGATGTTGTATAGTTTATTACGTTTATTCATGTTGATTCTCCTGTCAGCAGTTACTCAATATTGTATTATCAGTTTCCTACACTGCTTATTACATCAACTGTTTTCTAATTGGCGAGAGGCTGACTTCTCAGAAAGGCCAATAAAATGAGTTTGCAGCAACAAAGCATACAGAAGCTTTAAGGATTCTTCAATTTATCCAAATGATTGCGCAGCAAACCGTCTCCAAGTGTCACTTTGTACTGTAGTTAAAGTCAATACACATATTCATCCACAGACATCAGGGAGCAGTTGACGAATGTGAGAAGAGCCACATGTCATTTGTCCTTTTTTAGAGTTTAGGGAGCACAGATTAAATAGTGTTATCTCAGTTATGCATCTAAAGCAGGGTTCAAGCATCTAAATGGCTTTTTTTTTTTTTTTATGTATTATACATAAAGTTGGCTCCTTGCTAGCTAATGTCATATAACACTTTGTAGGGAAATTTGCTTGGGTAAAAAGGAAATAAAAAAAGCTTCATTGTGAAATAGAGCAGTGGACCTCGAGATCAGCTTTAACAGTTCTGCATCTAACACATGACCGATATCAGTTTAGATTAGACTAAAACTTTAAAGTATATTTGTACTTTTGCAGTTGAATTGTGATAGCACCTACTTTATATTTGTTGCATGTTCCCATTCACATAGCGTGACTTTTTTTTTTTTTTTTAACAATTTTTTTTTCAAAGGCATTTCTGCAAACTCAAGGACTTAAACAATTCTGCTTAGTTCTCACTGTATAGGGGGTTGGGGCAGTTTTGTTTTTCAAATTAACTGTCTGTGCAGTTCTAGCAGATTTCCTTATCACTTGTATACTAGATGAGCAAGGCTGTCTGTCCTAACAAAGGGCTGAAGACCTGAACACTTATGTTTAATCGTAACTATGGTCAAAAAGGAAAAATAAATGTATTTCTATACTGAATTTTCATAAGTCCTATCCCACTCCTAGTAACCATATCCATCTAGAAGTTTGTAATCTTCTCAGCCCTGTGATTATGCACTGCTTGTGTCACGACTCTCGGAGCCTGCCTTCTGAACAACAACTCAACTAAACAGTGAAACATTATCATTGTTTAGGGAAAAAACACAAACAAGGGGCGCCTTTCCTGGTGCAGACAAATTTATTAAGATCAGGATTGGAGGTAAATATAAAACATACTCACAAAATTCATGATTAAAGTATAAAAATTAAGTCAATGGACCCAAAGAAAAAAAGCTGCACAGCCGTGTCTATGTGTCAGCAGAGGAAAGGCGCCCCTTGTTTGTGTTTTTTCCCTAGATTTTGCAGTCTCCCTGGCTGGCTGATTTGAGGCAGCATCCTACAGACATTTTTATAAACGTGTTTTAATTATTCATTCATCAATTTTTATTTCATCTATCAATTTTTAAACAGACTTTGATTCTGACTATATTCGTGTGTACATTGGTTTGTACTGGTTGAGCAGTCCTCTCTGGTGCTTTTTTGTGGGTTTTTTTCTGTATTATCATTGTTTGCTCGAAGCAATGCATGATGGGATATGTAGTCTTGAGAAATTGAAATTGTAACGCATAAAGCAGCAGGGAAAGAGACGCAAAGCACACCAGGAATCCAGGAAGTTGGTAAAAGTGGTGGGCAGACGGAAGGCAGCACTCACTCAGGCATTTTTTCAAGTAATCTTTGGTTGCATTATCAAAAACTACTCTAGTATATATTCCCATTACAATGCAGAGGCGCGTTCAGTTACTTAGCCAAACACTGAGTAGCAGTTCTGCAGCACTTTAGTTTACTGCTGCAGCTTCACCGAACGCTTCAGCTGCACAGTGCTAAGCAAAATGGCGGCGGATAATATTTTTGACTCCATCACACTCATCACTCTGCATCACACCTTCTCCATCACACTCATCACTCTGCATCCACATTCACTTCCGCTGCGGGTGCTAAGTTAGCAATGCAGCGTTCTAACTCAGTTTGCTAACTCAGCACTCGCAGCTGCTGAGCAACTGAACGCGCCTCTGATGTTATAACAGGATAGGATATGATATGATATAACTTTAGAGCTCTAATTGTCACTCAGTCAGCCCCCTTATCAGCTCACAGGCATCTGTTCTAACTGCTAGAACTGCCTGTGGAGTCCTATGTATAATTATGCTAAAAAGAAACAGCTAAAAAGGTAAGAATTCTTTTTTTAATTATATTTAGGTATGCTGTGTGAATGGGAACACATAACAAACACACAGAGGGGGTTCTCAAAATTGGTTGCACCCTTTCACATAGTATTAGATAAATGCAATTGGATATGTTGTCTACATTCATAAAAATGTCTTCTTCTGAACAGGTGAAGTGAAAATGAACTACCTGTCTAAACCCTATGTAGCGATGGTCACTACCTACCAGATGGCTGTCCTACTTGCCTTCAACAACAGTGAAACCGTCACTTATAAGGAACTCCAGGACAGCACACAGATGAATGAGAAAGAGCTGACAAAAACGATCAAGTCTCTACTTGATGTCAAGATGATCAATCATGATTCTGAAAAGGTCTGATGTGCCACTTCTTATATTTATTGGGAAAAATCTGTATATCTCTTGGAGAAATGGAGAAGGGAAATATCCAGAACTACAATTTTCCTCCTTGTGTCCCACACCACTGTTTTTATTTATTTAGTGGACTACTTGGTCACAAAGACCACCACAGCCTTGTTGGCCAACTTTGTCTGAATAGTTAGACGACAATACCAGTATATATCTATGGGTGGGTGGTGGTGCATGCAAAATCTAACCTTGGTTTTTAGTTATGTGCGAGGTTATTGACGTTGCGCAGACAATTCTAAAGCAGGGGTGAAGTTCGTACCTTGTTGCTTTAACCCGTTCCCTATGGCACAATACAGATATGAAGTGGGCTTTCCTCTGTGGTCCCACTGTAAAAAAATTAATTATTAGATCAGAGCTTGATCTAGGTTAGTGTTAGTGTCAGTTTAAGCGTTATTGTTGGCATTAGTGTTTAGTGTCTGTGTGTTTTTAGGTAAGATTAATAAAAAAAAATATAAATATATCAGAGCTTGATCTAGGATGGTGTCCATGTCCGTGTTGGGTTAGTGTCAGTGTAAGGGACAGGGTTAGTGTCGGTGTTGCGGTCAGTGTAAGGGCCAGTATTAGTGTCATTGTTAGTGTCAGTGTGTTTTAGGTAAGATTAATAAAAAATTTAAATAAATGTTTTGATCAGAGCTTGTTCTAGGATAGTGTCAGTGTTAGTGTTAGGGCCAGGGTTAGTGTCAGTGTGTTTTAGGTAAACTTAAAGGTGAACTATGAGGTGCGTGAGTTAGAGCCGACCTGTGACAAAGAAACTGTCACAGGTCGGCTTTATCGATCGGGAAGTGAGCAGAAACTTCCCGCCGATCCGCTCACTTCTCGATCGTTTCCCTGCAGTGAGCGGTGACTGTTAGTCACGGCCCCCCGCAGGGATTCTCCCCTCTCCGATCCTCCAGCGCTGAGTGGAGAAGCGGGAGGGGGCGGACACAGCTGGCTCTGCCTCTAGATAGGCAGAGCCCGCTGTCACTCATCCAGCTGGATGGATCCAGACAGTATTGTCGGGATCCGTCTTTGCTGCGGCACTCTCAGTATATCGCAGGCAATAGCTCGCTATATACTGAGCTTTGGGTCACGAGAGGAGGTTAGTATATGTCCTCCCCTGACCCTAAAGAGAACTATGGGGAAAAACACTTACCTCATAGTTCTCTTTTAATTAAAAAAAAAAAAGAAGCAAAATGCACATTACTGTTTATGGGCCCTACCACGGGTACACACTAAATAACGCATACATACGCGGTATCACATGATCTTCAGGAGTAGAAGAATTTATTATAGGTTGTTTTTTGGAGGTGGGTCATAGTAATGGCTAAAACTTAAAAATTATAATTTGTTTTACTATTTTGAGCCACTCTTCCTTTGATAAGAAAAGAAAAAAAATTCAGGAGATACCCATTAACCAAAATTAACCAGTTGACATCCGCGGTGTTAAACCCCCTTCCCATCCAGGCCATTTTTCAGTATTCAGCGCTGCGGTACTTTAACTGACATTTATTCCGTCATGCAGCGCTGTACTGAAATGAATTTTAACTATGTATAATTCACCTGGAATGATTCACCTGGAGTTACTAGAAATCTGTAAAGATATGTCAAGTTTTACTGGCAAAGTTGCAAAACTGGATCCAGATGTTAAGGTTTGTTTTACCGTTGTAGTTGTAGTCCAGGAACAATGACCTTTGTGTGAGTGTAGCTGAATGTAGAATCCCTGACCTTTTTGTATGACATTTTTATCTCCATTGCAGGAAGATGTGGATAGTGAATCAACGTTTTTATTAAGTATGAATTTCAGCAGTAAAAGGACAAAATTTAAAATTACTACACCAATGCAGAAGGACACACCACAAGTAAGTTTCTTCTTTTCCCCCTCTTTTCCTTTGCTGCCTTTACTTTCCTTAAAGGATATGCCTTGCTTAACGTGTATTTCCACTTTTGTGGTCAAAATTGAGAAAACCCCACTATGTGTTTACAATTCCCACACAGAAAGCAATCCGGTCACCGACCTGAAACTTCGCTGGGACATTTTACGGCAGCACACAGCTTCACATCGTCCTGCCTTAGGTCCTCCTCTCCTCTCATTTCACCCAATGAGGGTTTTTAATCGTAGAGATAGGGGAGGATCAAAGCAGTGAACATATAAGGTCATACACAGCTGTTCATAACAGGCTCATTATGGTGTTAAAGGAGACCTAATCCATCGGACATAAGGCATAGCCTACTTAAAGTGACACCAAACTCAGGGGTTACATCTTAAAAATGCATTCAAGTACCCTAACTATTAACAGAAATGTATCTTATTTGTGCATCACTCGGCTGTAGATCTTCAAATCATCTCTGAATTGGATAAGCTCCAAGCTCACTCCTGGGATGGACTACAATCTCACGTTTAGTTTACTCATTTGTATTGAAGTTATAGTCCATCACAGGAGTGAGCTTGATGCACAAATCACAGTCCGTGAACCCATCTCACTCCTGACCGCTTATTCCAAATTAATTAAGGTGGGTGCAGCGGTGATTAACGGAAGGCCGCCGTTATCATGCACAAAGAGAAGTATGGACACTGGTACTCTAGTTCCAGTTCCATCACATGTTCTGCCTGAGGAAGGGGATCCTGCGAGACCCTGAAACCTTGCACTGAGTGTGATTTATGCTGCATTTTCATCAATAAACAGACTCATCTGGAGTGCTGGTATACTTATGTATACATATATATATGTATATTATGTGTGTGTGTGTATATGTATGTGTGTGTTTGTGTATATGTGTGTGTGTATATCAGGAGATACCCATTAACCAAAATTCTATGTTCACATTATGTATATATAAAGTATGGAATACTTCTCGATGTACAAATAAGTTGCATTTTTATGATTTAACTGCTGAGTTTAGGGTCACTTTAAATGTAACAAACAACCAACCCGAACAAATGTGTTTGGGTATCCTGACAGAGGCCAGTGCCACTGTCAGAATGCAGTGAAGACAGCGGGAGATTCCTTGATCAACATTCGTAAGCACTGATAGAGGAATCTGTATATTTCCCTTGTTACGCCCACAGGTTGAACAAAGAAAATATTATAGTGTATGGCCAGCCTAAAGATAGACTGAGATCCCCTCATTAATATGCAATGCTTCTAGATCTTTAACCATTTTGTTAGGACAGACAGTGATCAGATCTGCCAGCACAGTACAGATCGGGTTCGTTAGGTTAACATTAATCTCTCTTCCCCCCCCTTGCATTCCAGAGGGACATTCAGTACAGAGAAAAACTTTTCTTTCAGAATTCAGCATGTTATGTGTAAGCAGCAATTTATTTTTCTTTATGTTATGCTATGTGAATGGGAGCATAGAATAAATATAAAGAAGGTATTATCCCAATTTTGCTGCAAACGTGGAAATACACTTCAAAGTGACTGTCTAATTTTTAGTAAATTAAAAAAAAGTTTTTTTATACTCGCCTGTTCCTGGAGTCTTTACTCTCTTAAAGAGCTACAGCTGCCTAAAAAATCTTCACATCTTCATGAAGTGTATTGGGTGTGTTGGATGGCAGGTCCCCTGCTGCTCAGTTTGGTTCCTTTCTCCAGTAGGGGGCACACACAGTGAGGGACATCAACATTGAACACTCCCAGAAGAGTTAGATGAGAGAGGATTTTTCAAGCAGCCTTAGTTCTTGAACAGAGCGAAGATTCCAGGAATGGGTGGTGGCATGGGTGATAATTATTATTATTATGGTTATTGCAGGGAACTTTTAATTTAATAATTTGTACATGGCAACAGAGTTGGTTTAAAGTAGAACAGAAGCCAAAACTTTTTTCAGATTTGGATCCTGTGTTCTAACCCTTGTCAGCATTTTTTTCGCCATTCGTGTCCTGTTGGAGAGATTTTCCAATAGCCACAACAGGAAGTGAGAGGAAATCCCTACAAAGAGAGGGAAATCCATGGTGGTCAGCCGGGTCGCTAGAACCAGTGTCCCCTTTGGGAGGTTTCCCATCTAATCCCGCACTGATGATCCACTTTAAATGTGGGATTTTCTTTCACTTCAGTGGAAATGGTCACCAGGACAAATAGAACGGTGAAACTCCGGAGAAAACCAGGGCACAGACATCAATAAAAAGCACAAAAGGTGTTCTAATCCCTCTCCACTCTATCCAATACTAAAGGAGAAAGTTTTGACTTCAGTTGCACTTTAAGAGCAGACACAACAAGATGGCCGCTATTATCTTTCATTTCTCAGAAAAGTCTCTTCTCTGTCCTTCTGTGATTTTCGTTTTTAGGTTACTGGGGCCTGACTTTCATTGTCTTTATGGCTCTACCATTCCACTGTCCATTGTGAGGGCTTTTACTGGTCACTGGCCCAGTCTGATTGCACAGTGGAATGGCATTTGTCGGGGCTTAGCTATGAAATCATTATATTTGTACAATAACAAGAAAATATAGAAGAGAAAGCTTGTAAATGTGTGGAAGGCATATAAAAATACTGCAATAATAATGCAATACTAACTCAAACAATGCACTCACCTAAAACCAAACATGCTTTCCTATTCGGTGTCTATTTTTCTATTTTAAAAAACAAACAAACAGATTATTACAAATAATAAGATTACATCAAAAGAACTTTGGCTGAATACAGTATATTTCCTATTGCACATGCATTTGCTCTACAAGGGTCTCCCAGGAAATAGTTAGGCAACATCCTGTGTTCCAGGTTCAGTCCAGACTGCCTCATCCTGGTACTAGTTATTTTGTTTAATGTGCAGAACATGTCATCTCTCTCAAATCCTTGTCCTTTGATCCTTTCTGGATGATTTGTCCCCCTGGAATCCTGTGTAGCGTTAATGCTTTCAATGCATGGACACAGATTACAACCCCCCCACTTCTGAACCTGTTACATGTACCAGCACCATTAGCTGCTCATGAAATCTTTCCAAGCAAACTTGTGATTCATATTTTGGATTACTGATGATCACACATTTGGCAAACAACGAAACTATTCCGTATGACTGCACATCAAAGAGTGACTGGAAGTCAAAATAATGTTTAAATGTGAGTGCGTGAAACTATTTCAGGGTGACTCTATCACGGCTCTTCCCTAGAGCCCCCTTGGGTTTAAAGCGCAGCTCCAAGCAACAGTGAAACTACCCTGCAAAACGTTCCATAAACCAGAAAACACACACTAGATAGTTCATTAGATTTCATTTATACATATCACAGTGAACATGCAAACTATGTGCAAAGCAATAGATCCCGAGTTGGATCAGAGCAGTGACCCCTCCTTTACCCCACTCTGTCATGCTGTGTAGAGAATACAGGAGGCCAGTATAAAGGCAGATTCAGGTATACCTGAAGTGTTTAAAATACATTGAGGGGAATTTCTCAAAACGGGAGCAGAGCAAATCTGGAGCATACTTGCACTGCAACCAGTCAGCTTCTGTCTTTCATTTTCAAATCTTAACTGAACAAACTGAAGAGAAACCCTGATTGGTTTCCCTGGACAACTGCTCCAGATTTTATCTGCTCCAGTTTTGATAAATCTCCCCCATTTAATTTTTTCAATGAATGCATAACAGCATTGTGTTTTTTTTTGTTTTTTTTTTTTATGTGTTTCGCTTTAGTCAAATCGAAGGTTTCCCAAACAGGTATTTTGTTTCCTGACAGATTCTGTTTCATAGAATATGAGATAGATGTGAACACATTTAAAATGGGGTTTACATCTTGAAATGGTTAAACACCCATGTTTGTCATTCACAGGAGGTGGAACAAACCCGAAGTGCTGTAGATGAAGACCGAAAAATGTATCTTCAAGCTGCTATAGTGCGTATCATGAAAGCACGGAAAATCTTGCGACATAATGCTCTCATACAAGAGGTAAGGATGGTTGGTAATCGGGGCCTTGTGGAGGCAGCCGTGTCGTAGTCTTATTCAATAATCTTCATGTAGCAGCTTATTGGTTCACTGGGAACTGAAGACATAGATATCCAGCCCATATAGACTGGAGTTTAATCCACTATTTTGGCTTCTAACCTTCGACTGCTGGCCGTTCAGACGTAGACTGTGATGCCTGGATGCAAGAAGAGTTCAGCACAGCCCATTGAATTCTTCGATCCACTTCTTACACATCAGCCTGACTTGTCATACTCCAAGAAGACTGGTTTGGCAGGAGTGAAGGAAAACAGGGTGGTTACATGCAGCACTCAATCATGTATTTTTTTTTTTTTGTAAACAATAAGTCGGACTTTCTCTGCTCCCATAAAAGTCACCTACTGTAACTAAAGGTATCCATACAGAGAATCAAACTATTACCTAATCCAGCTGAACGTGCAAAAAACTGACACCTACGAAGTAAAACAGTTAGACCCTTTTCACATGGGCAGCGTCCATTCCAATCAGCAGGGGATGCATGCACAGAGCAGTATGGAACGCATGTCACCTTTGTGACATTCATGCCCATTCATTTCTTTTCACCATCTTGCTATGGAGGGAAAAGCTGAACTAACCAGACCCTTTTTAGGGCTATGGGCAGTCGTATGAAAGCTTGTGTCCATTTACCTTTTTTGATCTGTCCTGTTCAGATGCCCCAAAATTAACCTATATAGTGGGGGGGGGTTGGACCTAGACTGACTTATAGGTAATGTAAAGTTGGCTATACACTCAAATTTCTTAATGAACTGGCCACAATTCGTACAGTGGGCACCATTCCACCCAGCATCCCTGGAGCAGCTGATTGTAGAAACAGGTTTAAAAGTCTTCTGTCAAACGAAGTTTGCGCTGCAGACAGTACAATGCGAAACAGCAGGGGATTCCTCCATCCATGCTCCATAAGCGTTGATGGAGAAATCTGTTCTGTTTTCTCTATTCAGCCCACTGGTTGAACGAAGAAAATATAACAGTGTATACCAAGCTCTAGTCCGTCACTTGGAAGGAGAGGAGGAATCCTCAGACTAATGTGACGTGCTCCTTATAGGGAATGTATAATGGTGCTGTACACAGCTTATTTCTATATTTGAAAAGATTTTAAAAAAATAGAATTCAAAAAATATATTTTTCTTCCAATTTTAGTCAGATAAATATGAAATATTGCATATAAATATATTCCCCTTTCCAGATGTAGGTGAACCCTCATCCTTCACTCTCTGTTATACAAGTTCTCCTTCCTTACTGTTGTAAAAATTTCCATTTACAGGACTCAATAACTAATGTTGAAATTCACACACTCCAATTCAGAGGAATACCGTATTTGCCGGCGTATAAGACGACTCGGCGTATAAGACTCCCCCCTTCTTTTTGTGTTAAAATATAGGTTTTGGGCTATACTCGTCGTATAAGACGAGTATAGCCCAAAATAATGTTTAAATGCACCCACTAACCTCCATGGCGGTATTCCCGAGTGTGGCTCGGGGTTAATTTTCAGTACCATAAGCGGTAACCCCGAGCTACAATCTGGATTACAGTCTCTTACCTTGTCCACGATCCCCGCTGTGTCCTCCATCTTCCGCTGAGTCAATCACGGCAGGCTTTGTATTCATTAATACAGGCTTTGTATTCATTAATACAAAGCCTGCCGTGATTGGCTCAGCGAGGAGCCGAAGCTACATACAGTATACCGTATCCTTCCGTATGTACCCGGCGTATATAAGACGACCCCCCATTTTCCGGGGATGTTTTAAGGTCTCAAAACCCGTCTTATACGCCGTCAAATATGGTAACTCATCCTTTACAGGACAGCTCTGAGCTCATCGGTATGGTTTCAATTAGACAGAGCATGTCTGAAGGCTAGCTATACATCTATAGGTTCATTTAAAACCATCATAGTTTTCCTTTAAAGCTTGGCACCAGGCAGATATAAAAGACACAGATTAATACAGCGTTGTAATCATCAATACGTTATTAATAATGCATTCACACTGAAATGTGTCTGTTGGACTTGACTCAACGCGTTCACTTGCGTTGGCATAGTAAGTTGACATGTGTTACGTTGTTTTTTCTTTTTTTTTTATTAAGCTATATAAGGTATTGGTTCTGCTTTATATTGAAGAACGTTGTGTTTCATTGACACGCGTTGCGGTGCACTGTCAGCACAGGGCAGCTCACATCAACACACTGCACTGGGGTGGGCGAACTGTTCCCATTATTTTTCAGATGTCCTTGAGTTGCCATTCTTTGAAAAATGGATGCCAACGCATCTGGTATGAATGGGGCCTAAAAGTATTTTTTAAATGCAAGCAGTAGAAGTACCTGAATTTAACCTGGTATCACCCTCTTGCAGTCCTTGTACAGCAGAGCTCAGGCTGGGAGAGAGAGGGGCAGCTCAAGGAAACAGACAGTTGTGCTGTAGTACTTCTGTGCTAACATGGTGATTGGAGGAAAGAGCAGAGAGATGACCTATTCAGTATGCTGCTTCTCTGTATACTGTCACAGGCTGAGGGAGGGACAAGTCCTGCAGCAGAGAAAACTCGGGTCTCCTGCCCTGGCAGACTTGGCTGTGTAAATCTCAGGACTGGGTGGACAGGAATACAAATCCTCTGACAGGTAAAGCAGCTCCCATATATGTATTTCAAATGTGTATTTAGCCATTTGCTTGGAGTTCAGCTGTATTGGAGCACTATTGGTTGCTGATGTCTGATTTAGCCTATCCAAAACCTCCAGTTTACAGCTTGGTTTCTGTAGGAAATAAAAAAGGTCCATTTCATAAGCAATGGAAAAGGTTGGCTTTTATTTTATGGGATTTAGTTGCTTCTTCCAGTTATCTAATCTGTATTGGAAGCACCATAACTTAATGTTCCGCTCAGTGATGTAAGAGACAAATAGTAAAACAAGCTTCCCACAGTCTTCCCTTTCTGGAGTCTGAGGCATAATTAAATGTCATACTGATTGCCCTCATTAGGTGTAAGTGGCAAGAATCCTGTCCTGTGATACCACTTAGAGGAAATTGGGACTTCACTGAACATGGCCCAGGGAAAGCTCCTATTAAATGTGGTCCGGATTAAACATTACACTTTTATATTAATTTCTGTCCCATTCATGACAATACATGCTACAAAGTAGAAAAGAGAAGTAGGGCTGCAACAACTAATCGACTAAATCGATTATTGAAAAAGTTGTCAACGACTTCAATCATCGATTAATCGACTTTCGATTAGTTGGCCATGTTAACGGCTCCTCGCGCGCTGCACCTCCTCCCCACCTCACGCTCGCCTCTGCCAAACCCGCCCCCATCCACGCCTCCCGCTCGCAGCCCGCCCACATCCATGATCGGCACAGGGACGCGGAGAGAAGAAGTAAGGAGGAGCAGACGTGGGGGGATGACAGCCGCCGATAGACAGGCCCAATCTCAGAAGCAAGTTGCTGGAAGACTGCTCAGGTAAGCCTGCACTCCCCCCCCACCCCCACATGGTGTTCTATAATGTATTGCTGGGATAGTGGGATTTGTATTCCTCTGTAGCTGATGGCACATTGTTCTGTATATAATACCATCAGCTATAGAGGAATACAAATCCCAGCAATACATTATACACTGTATGTATAATGTATTGCTGGGAATTGTTGTATTCCTCTATAGCACATGGTATTCTGCATTGCGCTGTATACAGGACTACAAATCCCAGCAATAATACATTATACAGCGCAATGCAGAATACCACCAGCTATAGAGGAGTATAACAAATCCCAGCAATAGTACATTATACAGTGGTGCAATGCCGAATACCACGAGCTATAGAGGACTACAAAACCCAGCAATAGTACATTATATAGCGCAATGCAGAATACCGCCAGCTATAATGTACTATTGCTGGGATTTGTTGTACTCCTCTGTAGCTGGTGGTATTCTGCATTGCGCTGTATAATGTACTATTGCTGGGTTTTGTAGTCCTCTATAGCTGGCGGTATTCTGCATTGCGCTGTATAATGTATTGCTAGGATTTGTAGTCCTCTATAGCCGATGCCATTCTGCATTCATTGCTGTATAATTTTACACTTTCCATTTCACTATATTGCACCACACTTGTTTTTTTTACTTCCACCGCTCCAAGCTTGCTCCCGTGATGGACTACAATCTCAATACAAACTAGTAGTCCATCACTGGAGCCATTTTTTAAAATGTATTTTTTATCCGATTTAATCGAACGTAATAATCGACTAATCGATTTTGAAAATAATGGTTAGCTGCAGCTCTAGGGAGAAGCCAGTTGGGTGCAGCGGGCACCACAGAGAACACAGAGAAAGTCTAACATTTTTGTACCATTTCATCTTGATGCTAGTGCTGTGTAGGGGTCTCTGGCAATCGGTAACCCATACACTGCATATTAAAGTTGTATAAAGATTTGGAAATACTTTTCACAGTTTTTTTTAATGTTTTGAGATTGTGGGAGGAAACCAGATCACCCAGAAAAAGCTCTTACATGACACAGAGATGAAATGCAAACCCTACACAGACAGAATCCAGAACCCCAGCGCTATAAGACCTTGTTCACATGGGCGACTGACTCTTCCACTCCACTGAAAAGTGATCTGCGGCTGAATACTTTACAGAGGGCGATAGAGCAGCAGCTGACCTGCTTTTAGGAGGGGATATGATCTTTTTTATACCAATAGAGCTTTTCTTCTGCAATACTGCTCCACAACCGCATCTCCGCACAGTTGTAGCGTGCACCCATTGACTGCAATGGTCGCTTTTGGCAAAAATCTCAGGACTGGGTGGCCCGTTTACAGTGACGTGAAACTCAGGAATGAAACCTTAAAAATGCATTCAAGTTCCCTAACTATTATCAAAAATGTATCACATGTGTGTATCACACGGCTGTAGAGCCTCAATTGGTGGTGACACTGTCCTTTCTTCTGGAGGGTGACTACTTTTGTTCCCCATGGTC